CCAGGTGTGAGTTCATTCAGAATCTCCAGGATACCTAGTTACATCTTGAATGGGGTGACCTCAAACAAAACCCTGTCCAAAGATAGACTTCCAAGGCCCCCCAAACTCAAGACAATGTTGTGGGACACGTTGCATGAATTCTCACGAGGGTTCCAACTCTCATCCCGCGCTGCACAGGCCGATGACAGCTCCATTTGCAGAGTCAGATCTCCACTGCGAAGGCGGCCCAAGAACCTGGGATGGGGATTCAAGGGAAAGCTCAGTATAGGCCAAGCGGATTATTGAAATCAAGGAAAATGAAAAGTTTTCAATAAGAACCCCAGCAACTTTTTCTCCAACGGTTCTTGCACATTGGGAACTTGGCCTGTGAGCTCTTCCACAAGGGCACCTGGTATGGTGTAGTATGTTTCACTGACTTGCTATTGTGTTTTGTGGGCACTTTTGAAAGCAGAACCAAAACTTCCTTTTGATACTGAGACAGGGCACACGCCAGTGCTGTCACTTCAGCCTTGCCCTCCAACTCCAGCTTGGTCACCCGTTTCCGGTATGTTGCTGGGGTGTTGGAGAATTGTGAATGTACCATTTCAAAAAGCAAAGTCACAGACTCCTTGGTGTTCTTAAGCCTGTGTGCCCATGGAGATGTGCGAGCAACCTTTCCAGTCTTCGCATTGAACCCAACAAGAATCTTCTTGGTCCCAAAGCAGTCATCACTGTAGGGGCAACCTTGATCTAAGCCAGTGTTGACAGGCCAAACCAAGCTGAAATGAATTGTTTGACCCAAAATAGGCCTTTAGAATGCAAATGGAAGTGTCCTTTTCAGATTGCTTTTTTTTGCAAAACCCACTGAGAAGGACACTCAGCAAGAAATGTGTTCATGTAAAACTTCAACCCCCACTTGGCACCCAAGGAGCTTTCCCAACCATAGAAGCTCACAGTCTGTAGAATGCAGTTGCGGGCAGTATCTGGCAACTCCAACAACACCTTCACAGCAGTCTGTTTGAATCCCACGATTCTGTCATGCCGTGGAGCCTCCTCATTCCTTAGAACTGAGAGATTGAGCTGGGAACAGTTTTGGGTGCATGTCGATTCAGGTAGTAGCTTAAAACCTGGCACAAAAAACAGTGAACATAAAGTTGACAAGATTCCATTGTCGGATCAAGGATTGTGCATCCGTTTGCCCCCAAGCAGACAGATTCACAAAGGCATACACCCATGATATCGCTGATGGGGCACGCCGGATGCTGTTTTTTGCACTCCGCTTCATATTGAAGAACCTGGGCAACTTGGGGATGTTATCCTTATTGGATACATGTTTGTAAAATGTTGCACAACTACCTTTAAAATAGAATGGAGCAAAGAAATACAATGTGTTCAACAGACCAGGGTACAGCTCAGTTTTTTGGTCTTTCAGTCGGATGTGTTTGCACTTGATCCGTTGCAAGGAGTTCTTCAAAACTTGTGGGACCTGAAGCCATAAGGGACAAACAGGGCCTCAATAGCAAACTTGGAAGACACTTCAAAACCAATTGAGTTGGGGAAAGCCCAATGGCCTCTTTCCCCAGCTTGTGGAAAGCAAGCACGACTGCCATCGCGGTTTGCACCCTCCCTGCACCCTTCAGGTACCAAATGCTTCCAAGATCGATGTGTCCATTCTCTGGGAGGACCGACATCTGCAGGGAACAGGGTTGGCAGGGTTTACAGGACCAAGATCAAACATCTTTTAGACATGCCATAGTTCAAAATGGGTTTGAGGAATCATTTGCCTGCAATCTGATGAGAACAGGTTCCCCTGTTGTTACAAAGCCATCTTTTTCGAAGTTGTTGATCAGTTTCATGGCAACATCCAGGGTTGGCGGTTCTCGCAGACTGCTCTCAGTCTCTGTGCTGAAGGCCCAAAGGGGCAAGTAGAAAGGGTCTTGTTCATCTTCTGCACCTTGACCAGGACAGAAAACAAACCCAGATCAAGGAGAGCTGAGTTTTAACTTGTTTTACACCCAAACACTGTGCATGTATGCTTTTTGAGCCAGCCCACCTTCTAAGCAGGTGGGGATTGGATAATCTGTGAGATAAGGGACATCCCCAGGATCACCCAGAACATCCATCAGAACTGCAGCGATTCGAGATGGCCTTTCCGCTCGAATTGGAAAGGACAAGTGTAGGAACTGCCGTGGTCCACCAGCACCTCATACACAACTCACCCCAGCAATAACTGAGGGTTATGTCATGTGTTTATTCAAAAAACTATTGGTCATGGTTGAGACTAAGACCCAAAACACAGCCACCAACCATCAAAGGAACCTTCGATAAGCTTTGTGATGTCTTCATAAGTTGAGTCAAAGACAGAACCCAAAGCCACTGTGGTTGCCGTCTCCACCTCTGAAGGCATTGGCACCTCGCTTTCAGCAGTTTGTGCCTCTGATACAGCATCTGGAGCTGGAATTAAGAAGTCGAGGTTGCGGAGCCGGTCCTAAGTAAGATAGGGCTGTTTCTAGAATCTTTGAGCCTTAAGCCATTAATTGGTGGGATCAGTCAACACCTCAACCTGTAAGATTACACAATTTGGGATCCAAGCTTCAACAAGCTCCAAATCCTCCTCTGCCATGGGGTCGCAACCATGAAATGGATTTGATCCAAAAGTCAACTACCGGAAACCATTAAATCCCAAAATCAACAGATCTCAGTGTCTCAATTTCTTCACATGGAGTTCTAGCGATTTCAGATGAAACGGCTGGAAGTCTTATGTGAGCTAATAGAGATCTATAGAAGTCAGGGTCTGGAAAATGAGAGGCAAGATCTATTGGCACCTGTGGTAAGGGCTGGGTTTAGATAGCTTTCAAATGATATCACTAGATCTCCCACCCACAAAAATCCAACCATGAGATCTATTGAATCTGGCTTGAAATAGATTTACAAAAAATTATTGCAGTTGATTCCGGGTCGCCTATCCTCCGATTTCTAGCGGTTTCATCTGAAACGGCTAGGTTTTCCACCCCAAATCAACCGCAAGAGAAGCAACTCCATTTTTCCTATACTGCTGGCTGCTGACAGTTACTTGAAGGCTTCAAAGTTTTTTGCCTCCTCCATCACTGAAGTGGCAAGTCCATCCACCATAGCAGGTGGATACGTTTGTGCCCATACAGACCGTTTCATTCCCTGCTCTGACCCCTGGATCTGTTGGTGGGTATGACTTTGGTGGCAGAGCTTGCCATGGAACACCTTCTGAACTGCGGCACTGTTGGTGAGAAGACACGTTGCCTTTTTCATAGGGATGCCCCCTGGCGAGACCAGGCCAAACTGGCATTGGTCAAAGAAGCATAGGTGCACACCAAGCTGTTGCTGCACTCTCTTCACCTAAGGCATCAGTCAGAAACAAGATGTTTAATTTGGTTTCTAATGGTCACCATAAACAAGATGTCTCCACATGAAAAGAAACCAACAAAGTTGAGAGGTGACAAGGGGAGCACATAAGAAAGCTTATGTGCACCCTTTGTGGCCTCTCAACTTGTCTTAGAACAAGTTGTTTGATACAAAACACTTCATAGTTCCATCAAGCCACAGAGGGTCGATCCCATGCCAGTGAACCAGCAGGGTGTTCAAACACGAAGAACAGTCCAAGGCTAATCTGAACCATTGCCATCCACATGGCGCAGTCAATCAGACGAAGCCCCTCCTCAAGGCGCAACCACCGCCGTTGTCGATTCATCCTGTTCCAGTTACTCCGCTGTAACTGGCACAGCATTGTGCAAGGTGGGGACACTATGATGAAGAGCGGTCGAAGCAGTAGGAGGTCCTGGATGACCAATCGTAAAAATCCCCATTCACCAAGATCCCACCAATGGGCAAGATCATATGATCTTCTAGCACGTCCATTGAGCGATCGAATCTTTGGAGTGCATCGGGGCTTGGAAAACAACTCCCATGCATGACAGCGTGTCATTGGTTCAGGGTCTGGTCCAGCCATCAACGAGTTCAAATCCTGAAATGGATGGTTAACCTCTGAATCAATGTTGGCAGCTGCCAGCTTCAGTGTTGAATCATCACAGTCCAAAAGATTCTCATTGGGTGGCTCCTTGGGACAGGTTGTGGACAACGGCGGTGATGACTTGGTAGTGGCAAGTGAGTGAACCTCAAAACCATCATCATCATCTGGGAGCACCAACGGTTTCGATGATGATGCATGCGCTGCTGGTCTTTTGGCAGCGGTCTTTGTCACACTTGTACTCTTGGTCTTCTTTTCTTTTTTGGACTTTCTGGTGCCAACAACAGGTGGCGACGTAGGCAGGGACAGGGTGTCAAAGAAGTCACCACTGTCATCATCTTCAGGAAGTTCAAGCATGGCTCAACCCGCCCAGCTTAGATTCAGGAGGTGGTCAAACACATCACTATTGTTTGCTTGGGATGTCCAGCCCTTCTCACGCAAAGCTGAACAAGGGACCAATTGCATACTTGTGCCATGGGGGGGTTGTCAACTCTTCAGATCTTGTGACACAACATCTACCCCAGCCCCCCTGGCCCCCAAGAGCTTCAATTCCATGCCAGCAGGAAATCAAAAAGGCACAGACAAATGATTGATGGTAAGGCTCAACCCAAAGACATCACTCACCAGTGGCGGGGTCCAACCAAGCGAGGTCAAGAGACCACAAAATAAATAGGGCCAACTGTGTAGTAGTTGGCCCTATTCATTTTGTGTCCTTGTAAGACATCTCTTGTGGTTACACAAACATCTCATGAAGTGAAGATTAGAACAGGTTGACAAAATGCAATGACACTTAATAGACACTTATCTCAATTTTGTTGTTCTCCAGGTCCACCGTTCAGTGGTCCACTGAGCCAACCTTTTTGCAGTGACAGCTACGCCTCCCCACGACCACAGATATAGGTTTGGCCCATATCCATGCCCCAAGCTAAGCTAGGATTCGTACAACACCCAATGATGTTGTAGCACACCACACCAATCATGTTGCGATTGATGGGAAAACCCCTGCGGTTCAACCTAAGATCTAGTTCTTCAGACTTGCCTTGCCACGAGCACGCTTCCTGCCAGGCTCCTTGGCATTGGGCTTCGCTGCTTTGCATTTTCCACCTCCCTTTCCACGGCCAGCCACTCGACCGCGGGAAGCCGCTGGACCATGGGAGGAGGCATCAGGACAAGCATTTTCCTTTTTCAGGAACTCTTCAATCCCCTTCTCAGCCGATTCATGTTCTACACATAGCTTCCAGTAGACCCTTTCTTTGCCATCTCGCCAAAGGGTACTTGGGGCCAATTGGTAGAACTTCTCACGGCGGGAATCAAACAACTTTGCTGACTCAGTGTCAGTGGGCTTCTTCCTCCCTGCAAAAGTGGCTCTGGTAGGCCAAGGGGGCATACCATCCCTAGCGTTGGAGCCCATACCATCACCAATGATAGGGCATGGATCTGCAGGGGCTGGTGGCACCACAGTGCCCCGTTTCCTGGAGGAGGGCCCAAAAACGATCTCACCCTCACCCTGTGCCTTGATAGCTGCAGCCCTGGAAGTCTTGGCTTTCTTGGCTGGCTCATTTAGAATCTCACCCTCAGGCTTCTCACCCACAACAGGCTCAGGTTTCTTTCTGGGGCGTCCCCTTTTCTTGGGCACTGCATCAGCATGGTTGCCCTGCATGACAGTGACCTTCTTCACAGGGCCCGGTGCAAACTTCTCCCACCTTGGATTCTTTCAGGGTTCAAGAGAGGACTCAAAAATAATAGAATGTATTGGTATTATTGGTCCTCTTGACCTCTTGGAATGGAACGGCCCAAAAATCTCAACCCAAAGGCCCAAAGAACATCAGATAGAATACTATGGGTGCACAACAACTAAACCATTCCCACAGATTTGCAAACACCTTATTAATAAGTTGAGGCTCCCTTCCGGGGACTGGTGCACACCAAGAGGGCGAATGTCATCAGACCACCACCACTTTGGTTCTGGGACAGCAGGCCATTCTTGGCTCTCATTCTGGTCCTTAGTTGGTGAGGGAGGGAGATGGGTGTTGTTTTAATGAAATGATTCAGATGTGTATTTCCACCTGTGGCAATTTGCTGTTTAATTTTTAGAAGATTTAGAAGGCAAATTGGAGTGGACATATTTGTTCCACAGAGGTTTCCCCAAAGTCCTGCCAGATAGGCCAAGTGTCCAGCCAATCACGCAAGGCCTTTGCAGCCTTCACCAGGCACCAGGGTTCCTTCTCCACAAGATCAGCCGTTTTGCGAAACCTGAGGGAAGTGGTGCCAAGTCTCACTATCACATTGCCATGTGTGACTTGCTCTTAAAGTTTCAGGGGGGGAAAGAAGAACTGAAAGTTTGTTGGAAGTAAACTGCTGCGGGTAAGAAACTCCTTTCTTGCACGATCTGCCACCAGCTTTCGTGGTAATGCTTCAAGTGGCTTCTTGAGCAATTTCTGGAAGCTAGCAGGAAGGAGAACCAAGGGAGATTGTGAGAGTGATGGGGAATTCACCAGGTGCTTCACCAGCAGGACACAGTCACTAGCATCGTGTGGGTAGTCTTCCTTATTATTGAGCCGTGGCCATTTGTCACCAAATCAAAATTGAAAACACGGTTCTTCATTACCACTTTCCTGCTTTGGATTTCAGGTACCAGGTAACACAAAGTCCCCAATATTCTGCTAAGTTTCACCTGGGATTTCCACAGGCACCCAAGACTCATCAGTGGCATCATCATAGACTGGAAGGTCCTTGGTGCACATATTCTAGGTGAACCAGGTGAACCCACACATTAATATATTGTATGCAAATCATGAGGCAAAGTTCCCAAAGACATAGGGGGGGCCCACTAGCCTACCAACCAAGAAGTTGCCAATGAGCAAAAATAAGGGTCACTGCGGCGAATGAAGCGCCAACAGTGGTTGGGATCAGCCACATCATGGTAAGTGTTCACTAAACCTGCAACTTCAACCCCAAGCTGGGACACATAGCTCTTGAAGTCCAATGTCCCTGGAAGGAGTTCAGCCTTCAGCTTGCGCCCTCGGGCCGGCTTCACGTTCTCCAGGATCACTTGAACAAAATCCTGACAGGATTTGGGGTCCCATCAACCACCAAGTAAGTTCTAACTCCCAATTGAACATTAGGCTTTTGTCA